TATTAACTGTTATTAAATATATAAAATCATAAAATACTATAAACTTTGAGTAATTATAAAACAATACAATTTTAAAAAATAAAAAAATTCCACCTAACCATATAAAATTTAATGAAATTAATTAAATTAACCATATAATTAAATTAATGCAATTAATTAAATTAACCATATAATTAAATTAATGAAATTAATTTAATTAACCATATAAAATTTAATGAAATTAATTAAATTTATGTATAAGTATAAATTAACGCTCATTATAATCGATTTCTGAAATATTTAAGTAAAAGATTTTGATGAAACGTTTCACAAATATTTCTGAATTATTTCAATGTTATATTTCAATATAATTTCCAAGTTATCTTGCGGAAAGCATTTTGAAAGATATGCTGTGTGGGAAATACGTTTTTAATACTCACAAACACTTATATTGCACATTTTTAAATAGCACGCGAATAAAAATTATAATTATTAATTAGAGAGCTGGCAACATCATTATGATAGGTTATATAAGTTAATTATTATATTTGATGTAAATATATAAAACGTTTATTATATTTTAAATGTTAGAATATAATATAATAGATAAAAAAATGTTAGAAATGTAATATAATAAATAAAGCCAGTCAAAAGTAAAGACATGTTGCGTCTTTCCAAAAAATTGCACAATTTGACGTATCTTACGGGGTGGACTAAATTTTTTTTGTCAATTTCATATTAACCATCATAAAGTATAGATTTTTCTCTGCAATTAAAAAAATAGGCGGATTTATACGATTTTTTTTTTTTTGCGAAGTTGCGACATATCGAAGTTACCCTTTCCCCATGCATTTTTTTAAATCGTTTAATTTAACATACTCTACTGAATGGAATTAATTTTTTTCACAAATCTTACGATAACCATCGTAAAACAAAATTAAAAAAAAATTTCAAATACGATAATGTTTCGCAGTATCATGCTCATTTAAAATTAAAATGCATAGGCAACTTTGATATGTCGCAACTTCGCGGAAAAAAATCCGCCTCTTTTTTTAAATTGCAGAGAAAGATCTATGTCTGACGATGATTATTCATAAAATTTACGAAAAAAATGTAGTCCACCCCGTAGGATACGTCAAATTGTGCAATTTTTTGGAGACACGACACATTTACTTTTGATATATTTACTTTTGAAAGGACTGCGAGAAGGGAAAAGAGTAAATTCAAAATCGGACGAATGCTCCTTAAAGTACTTCAAAATAAAAAAAAAAGAGATTCCAAATACGATAATGTTTCGCGGTATTATACTCATTTAAAATTGTGCGAAATTTCGAAATGAACTTATCTATTCCATAATTTTGTTGACGAGTGTATAATAGTCGTAAGCATATAATTGTTTACTTATCACATTAACTAATATCTATTAATAAAATTGTGCCTTCAACTTTTGTGAGTAAATATACATAAAATGTTAAACAATTTTGCAGGCAAGACAGCCGAAATAGCATAGAGGATTCAGAAAAAATTCAGTCGTATGTTACCGATGTTGAGCTCATTTTTTAGATGCAAACAGAATTCTTTTCACTGAACTGAACTTTGAAGAATTCTTTTTGCATCTGAAAATGAGCTCAGAATTGGTGATAACACGTATTTATAATATATGACAAAATTTTTTGAATTTTTTTAAATTCTCTGTGCTATCTGGGAGGACACGAAGAAAAAGGGCAAGATAGAACACTGAGTGACTTGTTTAACCTTAAGATGAAATTTATTCAAGTGTATTAACAATTTATTCAAATTTTATTAACAAATGAAATAAATAGCTAGGAAAAAAATGTGAATATATAATTGTATCAAATTATAATCATACATAATTATATATGATTATATATGATTAATACATAATAATATATGATTATATGATTAATTATAATTATATATGATTCATATTTGAAATTTGTTTATATCCAGAGTAACGTCAAATAACTTTTTAATAACTTTAATAACTTTTTAATAACTTTTTAATAATATCTCTAACATCAGTAAAACGTTTTTAAATGTCACTTTGCTAAATACAGGCTTGCCTACAAGACTGTTCAAGTGATAAGCAAAAATATTCTTAGGTTACATTATATTTCTTGGAATATTGTATAAACAACACAAAAAGGCAGTAATGTGAAGAAATTAAGTCGTCTTCAGAACATATTCTCCAAAGAAATAGGAAAGACTACTGTGCAAGAATAAATAATATGCTAAGAAATAGAAAAAACTACTGTGCAAGAATAAATAATATGCTACGAAAATGGACACAAAATTACATGGTATGACTAAAAAATCTTAGCAAATATTAGCATTTAAATTAGCTGGAAAAAACAGTATTGAACATCTATTAACTTTTGTTGGTATTATTTATTGCTTTTTAGGTACGTATTTAAGTATCCATAAATATACGATCTTTTTTATATTACAATCGATTATAAAACTTTTATTTGGTATTCCATCTTTCCCGCATCTTTTGGACAAATAAAAATCGACATCACTTTTTTTTGTTACTTTTCCATAAAAAATATAAGAAATATATTTTTTCTTGTGCTAACTTTTAAGAAAATAGTCCAAACTATATACCATATGTTACAGTTTTTGAAAAATAATTTTATTTTAACCATGTTTTTATGACAAAAACGTTTCAAAAAGTGTTCCATCTTGCCTGCCCTTCCCTTATAGGAATAAAAGAAAAAACAAGACGATATAATTCAATAATTTTTAATTAGTAGTCGTATTAGTAGCACTCGGTCCTATTTTTCATTTGAGTGGAAAATACGATGAGTATACGCGAGTATGCATGAGTATTTTTTAGCAGATTGCTCCTTTTTAACACTCTTTTTTCAACTATTGAGTGACATCATATTAATACGTTCCTCTTTTACTCAATTTCGTTTTAATACAGATCTATATTGAAACGAAAATGAGTAACCACCAGCTGAAAAATGTGTGTTAAAAAGGAGCAATCTGCTAAAAAATACGCATGCATACTCGCGTATACTCGTTATAATTTTTCGCTGGATACACTAAACGTGTTTCAGAGTATAAGAAACGACCATAAAAATTAAGAAACGGATAGAAAATGGGCTAAAACCGGACCAAAAGTGGGCCACATGAGGATAAAAACGGTGGAATATTTTTGTAAGGGAGACTTCGTTTCAATAGGAGATATGATTTTTTCTAGTGAAAGTGAGCAATCTGCAAAAATCAAAAGAATTCCAACGATTAAGCTACGAATTTAAAATATTTCTCTAGAGACGCATTTATTATCTGAGACAGAACTGTCCAAAATGAAGATCCTCTAACAAAAGAAATTCAGAAACAAAAACTTTTCTGGATTACCGAAGATATGGCGATTCGCAAATCTTTCTAAGAATTTCTAAGCTCTCTTAAAGAAAGATAAAGAAATTTTAAGAATCAACATTGCGGCAATCAACAGATGCTCAAAGAAAAAACTCTATACAAGATATAATCGATGATATTTATATTTTTGCGATATTCCACATTAAATTTCGTTTATTATCATGTTATTTTGTGTTTTGTCACGTTTGTAATACAATCTCGTAGAAAAAACTAATAGAGAATTTATTATATCTTCAAATAAAATTGAAACTTTGTTAGACGCGATATTTTTAGTTGGCACGCAAGTAAAGTGCACTTGTATTTGCGATTGTACAATTAATCTTTATATATTTTTTATCTTTATATATACTGATTGTTATCCATAATTTGCTATAAATATCTTGATGCATTAGAACTACTTTATCATTGATATAGAATTATCTTTCCTACGATAACTTGGTGCTATCTATAGTCCGATGCAATAGTACCAATTTAGTCTGTATACGCAGGAATTGTTGGTTCATTACATTTTTATTGGCTATGTTGCACCGCAACGGTATGCATCATGACGTACGTTATTGCAATTGTTGAAGAGAAAAATAATCGGATGAATGCGAGTTTTTATCGGCATTAGGAGAGCGTGAGAAAGCTTTACATATTATCGACATATTGACAACTAAAAATAGTCGTCGTAATACGTGATCGTACTAAAAATAAATTTTGCCGAGATCATTTAGATAAATACATTTAGTCTCACCACATGAAATCGCGACGAATCTCGTGGTGTATTTTGTTCGCAGTTATTGCTTAGGACAAGTATAGTAATACACAATCGCTAATTGTTCTATGGAAACAAGCCCAATTATCAATGAAGCTTTCATAAGGCGTCCCACATGCTTGCGGTGCCGTTTTCTTACTTATGATCACGATTTATTTTCTTCGATTAGAAAAAGGTCAAAAAGTCGTGGAGAGACGCCTAATGACGCGACAGAAATGAATCACTTAAAAGCTTATTGTCTTTAAAGGTCGAAATCATCTCAATAAAACTCCTACGAACGTCTGTTCTTTCATTTACGAAATACGTATAAGTTGCGTTGAGTAACATTTATATACCGGGTGTTTCAGATCACACGTACACCCCATTTAAAAACGAGGGAAGTAGTTATTTTTAAAAATGTTTCAGACACAAATTTTAAGGTTCGAAGGGAACTTTGACTTTGATCTTGGCGGCCATTGTCAAGGTTATTTTAAGGTCATGTTGATTTTTTAAATAAAATCTCTTACTTTTTATTGCATATTCTTATAGCTTATCTCGAGAACTTTCCAAAACACTATAATAACGTATTTTTTTATTAAGTACTTTTTGAGTAATGAAACTTGTAAGTTACAGTACCGTCGGCATTAGTATTATCTAAGGTGTATCACGTAGAGGTTGCTTCGTCGGATTTACACCTCTTTCGTGTGTGTGTGCGTGTGTGTGTGTGGGTAAATGGATATGATGTGAATGTATGTGGATATGCGTGCGTGCGTGTATGTATGTGTGTGCACGGATAAATGCATGTGTTTTTGGATTTTATTTTTTACATGTTTTTTTATATCTTTATATTATATATGCCAATACCAATTTTTTTTTTCAGAAATCAATATCATTAATTGAAGAACAACCATTCGATTTGAACATACTTATGGTGAAACCAGGTTCTTCGTTTTTCTCGAAAGTGTTTAATTATGCATCGCAAGTCTCTAGCTTTAAAAGATTCGACTATCCAATGGTCACACAAACAGTAAGTTTTGATTCCATCAAATAATATCAAATTTCATATGAAAATAATTAACTTTATTGAGTTTACTGCCATATTATAGGTACTGAATAATAAAAGATTAAAGGAAGTTATCGAACTAACTGTTTGCAAGAATACTAATAATGAGAATTATATTGAAGAAGAAGAGCTCGCAAAAGCAAAAGACAAAGCCAAAAGTATATTACTGCAGATGGAAAGCAAATGCAGTGACGTCCTCCTTAAAATAGTTGCATGGCTAATGTATAAATTGCTCCCTTGTTTTATACAATCGGCCGTTGTGGTGCCTCCTCAAGTTGAAGTATTGAAGAAGGCGAATGACACAGGTTTACCGCTCGTGTTTTTGCCCTTGCATCGCAGTCACTTGGATTATATAATGATCAGCTTCATTATGGTCGTAAATAACATGAGGAATCCGTTAATTGCAGCCGGGGACAACTTAAAGATCCCTTTTTTTGGGTAAGTTATCCATCACTTACAATATAATTATTATATCACATTATATTTTTCAGTTCCAAATTTGGGAAACATTATAAATTTTGTATATAGGGAAGGGGTAAAAGAGATAACAAATTTTTAATTTATATAGATAAATAATTTAACTACAATAAAAATCTATTATACAAGATTTCCGAGAATTCTAAGTTTGTGGAGGTATCAAACTGAACAAAGAAGTGTATCAACTTGGAAATTTTCCAATAGTTATTGAGGGATTAATTAAACAATATGAGTGCAAAAAAAAACGATGGAACGGCCATGTCTAAAGAAAAAAGACACCCAGCTTGTAAGAAAGATATTTTACCTTCGGATCTTTTAGCAACAGTGAATATTAACTGATAGCGAGAGGCATATTTTTCGGCGCACGGGTCTGTCAAATATTATTCACTGTTACTTCGCTTCTCGTTATCAGTTAATATGTTATTGCTAGGAGATCTTAAAAGATAAGATCTTTCTTAGTTGTAAGCTATCTTTCTTTAGCATGTCTACGGAGTGTGTCCTATTGCTTGTCCCGTGCATTTATTCGTTCATGTTGCTTCATTAATTCTTATTTAATTAATTACTTATTTAATTAAATAATAATACTTATTGCGAAATTTATAAAATGGTACATGATTTTTCTAGTCAATTTAATTCATTTTACCTGCACGAGTGCTGTATCTTGAATTGTCAGACACTGTATATATAGTAAAAACTCTATTCCTAAAATAAAACTTTTGTCGTCCTTATTTTAAAATTGAGATAAAGAAACAAAACTACTGTATTTTTCAAAGCTATGAATTTTTTTAAAGAAATCTTTTTTATTAAAATCATTTTAAAATATGTAACATAAATAAAACAAGATTTATCTTGAGTGATATCTGAATACTCTACTTTGGAATAATTTCGTTATTTCCCTCAATAATGGATGAAAGTTAATTAATTTTTTGACACAATTGGCAGATGGCTCTTAAGAGGTTTGGGTGCTTTTTTTATCAAGCGTCGTATGGATGCCATAGTAGGACGTAAAGATGTTCTTTATCGCACAATTCTTCAAACATATATCATGGAAAGTTTACGGGTTGGACACAACATGGAATTTTTTTTGGAAGGTGGCCGCACACGAACTGGCAAGCCTTGCATGCCCAAGAGTGGCATCTTGAGCGTCATTATTGATGCGTACATGAATCGTACCATCGAAGACGCATTATTGATACCTGTAGGGATAAATTATGAACGATTAGTGGATGGAAATTTTGTTCGAGAACAATTAGGACAACCAAAAAAAATGGAGACTTTTGCATCGACGATCAAGGCCATGTGGTCAATTTTAAGGGGTCATTATGGTATTGTCAAGATTAACTTCTGTCAACCATTTTCTCTTAAGGTAAAATACATTCTTTTTCTATATTTTAATAAAATTTACATCTAAAAACGAAAATAATGTGGAAGTTTCTGGTCTCTGACAGGATACAGTGGAAACTTTTAAAAATCAACAAAATATAAGACCATTGCCGGAACGACCCTTAAAATCATCCACATCGAGTTCGTCTATTTATGGTACAGATGTCGTTATGGAAGATCATCGTCAATTAGTGGACAGAATTGCCAGACACGTTGTGTATGGTTAGTTAAAATGATTATTCAACTTATTTTTCACTATATTAAGGATTATTCTTTTTTAATCGTGATTTGTCGAATTAATATCGTACGCAATATCGTATCGAAAACATTTATATTTTTAGTAATTCAAGGTTATGCTAATGTCTTACAATAGAGCTAGACATGTGTTGCACGCATTTAACCGATTTTCAACTTGATGCGCCTAGCTATTTCCTTTACCTTTACTTTATCGCCCCGCTTGCAACCTACAAAACACTCAAGATTCAAAAACGTATGATTTGTAAACATATGTTTTTAATAGTAGAAAACTACTAGAATCTTTACAGATCATTACAGATCATTACAGATCTTTACAGATCTTTACAGATCATACACTTCTGAGTCTTAAATAGTTTGTAGGTTGCACGCGGGGAGATTAGATAAGAGGAATAGAGCTAGGTGGAGTAAGTAAAAAATCTGGCGAAATATGCAATGCGTGCCAAGCTCTGTCTTACAATATCAGGGTGATGGTAAAAAAAAACCTTATGGGCCTTCTATATTAAGCCATTAGTCATAAGCCGCAAAAAAATTGACCAATCGTCGATTATTTTCAAAAATAAAATAAATGATTGGTCAACTTGCCTACGGTTTATATGACTAATAGCTTAGTAGAATATATTGAAGAAGTGAGTTATATTGTAGAAGGTCCATTAAGGCCTAAGCATAGACTTTTACATAACACATAATGCATAATATATAAGATAATCAACCAATTAAAGTTCTTCATTTACATCTTAAGAAGATAAATGAAGAATCTGATTGATTAATTTCCTTATGCAAAAGTTTGTGTTTCCATTTTAATGAGCTTTCTACAATAAACTATTAATCATAAGCCACAGACAAGTTGAGCAACTACAGTTGATTATTTTTAGAAATGACAACTTATTTTTAAAAATAATCGACTGTGATTGGTCAATTTGCTTGCAGCTTATGACTAATGGTTTATTGTAGAAAGTCCATTAACCTTTGAAGGACCGGAAGCCGATATATCGGCGCGACGACAGTTAGCTTTTTCGCCATTCAATCTAATGACATTCTAGCTCTTAAAATAAAAAAGTCGATAAAGAAATAGTCGGTCCTCAGAAGGTTAAAGTTCATCGCACACAAATGACAGCTGCATATGCATAGCATAAGATCATATGGACCAATAAACATCGAGTATTAAGGGGATATCGGAGTCGATCCCGAACTTCGAAAGTGCCGATAACGCAGATTTTGTAATTTAGGGACTGCCGCTAGACGGCAGTCTCGTTACCATCGACATATAGAATGGACTGCTAAATGAGGTGATGAGGGTAGGAACAAATATACCAGGTCTGTAAATATGAAACCGGAATTTGCCCATAGATGGCCCTAGCTGTCAATGTAGTTACCGTCAAACCGCGTCATTGGCGCCATTTTCTTGTTGACATTCTGACAAAGGTTTTCAACTCACAACAATACAAGTTTTATACAACAGCATAGTTTGTAATAGCATTGAACATATCGAATTTTGTGCCTGGAAACTACGATTTGCGGACAGCATTGATTTTCTGTTACCATTTGAAGAAAACTGCTGCAAAATCGCATCGAATGCTTGTTGAAGCTTACGGTGAGCATGTTCTTGGTAAATCACAGTGCTTTGAGTGGTTTAAAAAATTCAAAAGTGGCGATTTTGATATGAGAAACGAAGAACGTGGAAGACCGAAAAAGTTTGAAGACAGCGAATTGCAAGCATTGTTGGATGAGGATGACACTCAAACGCAACAACAACTCGCGGATCAATTAAATGTGACACGAGAAGCCGTCTCCATACGTTTGAAAGCCATGGGAAAGATCCAGAAGATGGGAAAATGGGTTCCACATGAACTGAATGAAAGACAGCAGGAAAACCGAAAAACCACTTGCGAAATGCTGCTCGCCAGGTACAAAAGAAAGTCATTTCTCCATCGAATTGTGACTGGCGATGAAAAGTGGATATATTTTGAGAATCCTAAGCGTAAAAGATCATGGGTAACTCCAGGCGAACCATCGACATCGACTGCAAGGCCAAATCGCTATGGACGGAAGACAATGCTCTGTGTTTGGTGGGATCAGAAGGGTGTGATCTATTATGAGCTGCTAAAACCTGGCCAAACCGTTAATACTGAACGCTACCGACAACAAATGATCGATTTGAATCAAGCTTTGCGTGAAAAACGACCAGAATATAAAAAAGGCAACACAAAGTGATTTTGCTTCATGATAATGCACCATCACACACAGCAAAACTGGTCAAGGAAACGATTGAGGCGTTTAGTTGGGAAATACTTTCGCATGCGGCTTACTCACCAGACTTGGCTCCGTCCGATTACTATTTATTTGCATCGATGGAACACGCACTTGCTAAGCAGCGCTTCACTTCTTACGAAAATGTACGAAAATGGCTCGATGACTGGTTTGCCTCAAAAGAGCAACAGTTTTTTTGGCGTGGCATCCACAAATTGTCAGACAGGTGGGAAAAATGTATAGCTAGCGATGGGCAATATTTCGAATAAAATATTTTTTATCATTTTCATACAATAAACATGTATTTTCTGTACAAAAATTCCGGTTTCATATTTACAATAGTAGGACACCTTCCATCCTCTTTTCCAAGTAGGAGCGTAGCGCATCGCAACAGAACCTTAATACTGATAATTTATAATAAATGTTTCAAATAGTTACTTGTGATTTTAGTCTAGTGTAACATTTTTAATATTTAAAAAATATTACAGTTTTATACATAATAACATTTCATTAGTATTGAAATGATAATAAGTATAAATATATATGTAAATAGGTATATATATGTAGGCAGAAAAAGAAAATAGAAAGAAAATAGGTAGGTAGAAAGAAAACAACTCGATATTATATATGCAGTAGTATTTATTAATTAGTTAACTGACAAAAATGTACCATCTTAACTTTTGTATTACATGATATTTTCAAGCAATGTAATACGTAATAGAGATGTAGCGTGAAGTAATACTCTCGCGTCTAGCTTAGGACCTGACTTTTGCAGGATACAATATTGCTGAAATTCGTGCAACCAATCAGACTTCAGTAAACGGAGACAGAAGGTGTCCTACTATTGTCTGTCTCTCATTCTACATCTGTTCCTACTCCCACCACCTCATTTAGCAGTCCATTCTATATGTCGATGCTCGTTACAGCACGTCAGCTGCGCGACGCGGGGTACGGTCTAGTAAGCGCTACAAATGCTTTATAACGTTTTTACTTCTTTCTCTTTCTTCATTCGAATCCGAGAAATAGAACAAGAAAGAGAAACGCTGCGCAGCATTTGTAGCAGTTACTGGATCGCGTCCGCGATTTCAAGATCAAATATGCGAGCTAGCGTTGCCATGTCTAAGATGCAGGCAGCGTTGCCACATCTAATAGCCGTATCACATTAGTAACTGCGGCTGCGATTAAATCTCTTGACCAATGAGAAAAGCGGTAGTAGCTAGCAGTTTCTTTCTGACTGGTCAAGAGACATAATCGCAGCCGCAGTTGCGAGTCGCTAGTATGATATGGCTATAAGATGCATTGTGTGCGGCGCAGCGCATTGTACTTATGCTGTCTGCCTCTTACAAGGAGATGCTACAACTTGTTAAATTGATTTCCGAACGAGTTATAGCACGTTCGTTAGCTGTAATGTTGAGCATCAACATCCTAACGGGATTTGTGCAAGTGGACCTTTGTTTGTGAGAAATAATAGCATAAAGTTTGGGTCGCGGAGCTGTAGCGGGGCTAAATAGGGATAAATTTGCGGCTTTCTTTCAATGAGGTAGTGTGGCTGAGCGAACTAAAACTCGCGCCGAACATTTTTGGGCCGGCGGCGAGCGTTCGAATCTAGTCGACGACTTGTCCATGTGTGGTGTTTTTTTTATTTTTTCTTACTTTAGGACATACAATTAATGCTCTCCCAGTATAATACATCAATTTTGAATATATCTTTCGTTTTTATGCTATCAGAGATAATTAGGGATAATTAGGGAAATGTTCGGCTTGTTTAACGCAAACATTACACACATAATATACCCAGATAGAAAAATGTGTTCATTCTGAGCTCATATTGCATTCGTGTATCTTCAGACATGAGGACAAGAATAGACACCGATGCGGGCTCATATGCCTCAGAATGTAAACATGTTATGATGTCACAAAAATATCTTATTTAATAATAATAATCAATATCATGTCAAGAATTTATAACATAATTTGTACATAATTTGTGTGCATCTGGTGCTCATGTCATGAGATCACGTAATGATCTTTAAAAAAATATCAAATTAGAGTCATAGTATGAAATCACATTGTGATGAAACATGATCATCACGCATTTCTATCTGGGTACATATAACTTGCATTGCTTACAAGGAAATATATTTTTAATACATCGTTTTCTTATCAAAACATTGTATACAACATTTTCATAATAGAACTTGCTTGTAAAACTTACACTTTATAAATTTAAAATATTTTGTGACGTCTAAATTTTAATGGCGTCTAAATGACGTCTTTAAACGTCACATTGCTGCCTGGATAGTGACAAGCAGCACATGTCAAATAAGACGACTGTGGGAAGTAAGTCACGTAAAAAAATAATTCATTTTGCAGTAAATACTGACAAACAGTACACATTGGAAAAGATGCTTCTGATCCCAATTATTAAGACGTACATACCATTTTGGTTTCGCATTTTGCTCCCGCATTAGTCTTATTTTTCCTTCTTTCCTATCCCAACTGTTTTACTGCTCTCGGAAACCAATTATTTTTCGTCTGTTGTTGTCTGCTCAGAAGTGTCACATATAAGACACGTGCCGCAGGCTGCACGTGCGTGCGGCGCAACGTACACAAGCTAAAGCCAGTGGCACACGATGCTTGTTTTCATGCTGGATTGCTTGCTGGGTGGAAATACTCTATTCTAATTGGTACATTTCTGAAGACGGACCAATCAGAAC